TGCCCCTCCCCCGGAACAGCTGGCGTGGGGAACGGATACTGAGGTCTGTGTACAGGAAATACTCTTAAAAGCTTCGCCCGATAGACAAATACATTTTTGTATTTTTTTGCAGACACAACAACTATTCCCTGCCACGAACTACCATGAAGAAGAAGAAGAAGAAGAAGAAGGTAAAGAAAGAGAAGTTGAAGACAAGACAGATTACTTAACCCTAGTGAGTAAGAAGGAGGGGAGGGGAGAGGAAGACGCGAGACAGCTTGTGGTTGTAAACATCAGGCACAAGGCAGTCAAGCAAGACTTATAGATAATTGGTGTTAATTATTCCAAGTTATGGATGATAATGCTCATAGTTTACGGATGACAGAGCCAGCAGGGATTATAGAAATGATTGCTCGTGAAGTTTATGCAAGGTTTTACATGATACATGGACGGGGGGGGGAGGGGGGGGGGGCTATTCATAGGGTACGTATATAACTCAACAAATAATTATAGGACTTGATCTAAGGGGTCATACATGCAAGTCATCAAAACAAAAGGAGGTCATAAACGTTTGCAAGTCATCAAAACAAAAGGGGGTCATAAACACAAGTCATCAAAACAAAAGGAGGTCATAAACGTTTGCAAGTCATCAAAACAAAAAGGAGTCACAAAATTAATTAGCCAGAATAAAAGAGATGGATACAAAGTGATCAACAACAACAATATTGCTGAACATTTAGAGTGCTGTAGGTCTCTTGACGGCGCTAGATTGTGACCTGATGTAAGGAAAGGATCACAAGAATATATCAATAACAGCTGATTTACAGTTCCTAGACACATCTCCACACACACACACACACACACACACACACTTCCCAGACATAATGACGAGACGTTTCTCACATTAACAGCTCACAGACACATCTCACCAGACACAAAGACTAGACACAGCTCTTCCCCATCGACACAGCTCACACACAGCTCACACACACCTCCCAGACACGTCCACGAGACACTAATCTCTCAGTACCCATCAAGTAGGCCTGTAGATACTTTAGTGTGGTAGTGGCGTGACAAGTCCCAGGAGTCTCGCCCACACAACCTGTCCACTGTGTTAAGGCCTTACCAGATTAACACGTTTACAAACAACAAAGTCACTGGACGTACTGTACAAGTGGCAAAATTCCATTCCTTCATATCTGAATTATTTCATTTTTATTTTTTTACTTAACTTTTACTAGCAATGTAAAATTTAAATTTGATTTTTTTTAGTTGGATTTTATTGATGTATAATATTTAAATGTTGTACGATTTTCTTATTAGTTTGTGAATTAATGTGTTAGAGATGTAAGATTTCATTTTAAGCATTGTGTCAGGTTTAATTAATTCTACAGGTAATATCAACCCTTTTAATGACACCTGTACTGTTCTCATCCACACCATCGACACATTCACCTGTAGTACCTTACTCTCCGTGACTCTACCATCCCTTATGTGTATTCTTATGTTCTTATGTTCCTCCCAAAATCTACTCTCCCCTTCTCTGCTTTATTCGCCTCTCCCTTATCACCCTTTTCATCATCATCATCATCCCTGCTTCCTTCCTCTTGTTCAACGTTTACTAGTGAACACCACAGGTAAGGGATACAACAGGTGTTCCCGCGCGGGTGAGTTTGTCCACCTCGCTCATGCTGGCGGTTGCTTTTAAAAATTCACGCCTTCTCTCTTCTTGCTCTGACTGGCTAACTAACTGACTAACTAACTGACTGACCGACTGATTGACTGACTGACAGTGATTAACTGGGTGACAGAATGATTGACTGACTAGGTAAATCCATCGCGTATAATTTTGTAAAAGTATATTCGAAATATACGAGAGAGAAGAATATGTAACGTTTAAAGAAATGTACGGAATATATATACTGTATATATGTGTGTGTGTATAAACAGGGAACCTCTAAACAAAAATAAAAAAATAAAACTCCAGGAGCTAAACATCGCAGGAGGGTGGAGGTCGGACAGGAAGGGTTGTGGAATGCGCTATAAGGTATTGAGTAGCGCGGAGAAGCGTGTTGGATTAACCTGGCGCGGTCGTGCGGGGTTTACTGCCTCTAAATGCAATTAATGTCGTGTCGTCTTTTGTTTTGCAGCCCGAGATTAACACTGTGAGCCGAGGAACAACGGAGGCAGCCCTCTTGAGCAAGATACAGGAGCTGTGTGAGTGAGAGAGAGAGTTGGAGAGAGAGAGAGAGAGAGAGAGAAAGGGAAGGAGAGGTGGGAGAGATGAGAAGGGAAGGAGAGAGGAGGGAGACAGACTGTGGGAAGGTGTTGGAAGCGATGGAGAGGGAGGGGAAGGAGGGTGGTGGAAACAAGGGAAGGAGAAAGGCAGGGAGATAATGTGTTGGGAGCAGGGGAGAGGGAGGGAGACAAAATTTTGGGAGACGGGGAGGTGGAAGGGGATCAGGGGAAGGAGTGATGGAAGAGGGTGAGAGAGAGAAAGGGATTAAGAGAGGGGGTGCAGGTAATGGGAAGAGAGGGGGAGTGGGGTTGGAGGAGATGAAGGAGGAGGGTACATATGAAGGGGGGAGAGGGATGGGGCGTGGTAAGCGAGGGATGAGGGTATTTTAGGATAGATAAGGAAATAGGATGAAAGGGAAGAAAAAGTAAGGGAGGAGAAGCGAAGAGAGGGTAAGAAGGGACAAGGTGTAGAGAAAGTGGAGAGGTAATGCGTGGGATGAAAGTGAGGGGGAAGGGAGCGGAAGAGGGCTAGTACAAAGGGAGACTAGAACGAAGGGAGAACGCGGAAGTGTGTGTGTGTGTGTGTGTGTGTGTGTGTGTGTGTGTGTGTGTGTGTGTGTGTGCAGGAATAAAGGCTGATAAATGTGGAGAGGGAGACGCGGTCTGGTAACAGAAGCCGCCTAAAGGGGACGAATGAAGACAAATTTGCTTGACGTAAACAAAGGATTTACATGGAGAAGCAAATGGCGGAGTTGAGGCGTTTCCCGCTCACCTTGGTTACTCTATTTTCCCCGAAGGAAGAAAGCCCACATTCTGAACACACAAACCTAAGTACCCCTTAACGTAAATGGATAATGTCATCACTACTAAAGATACGATGAGGTAAATTTTCGATTACTTAACAGTTCCTATGTGCTATTTAGCAACATCCATACACCAAGTTTTATGGATATCCTCTTTTATTTATTCGAGTTACAGCGTTCACAACAGAGACGTATTCATACAGGGACGGACGGACGGATGAACGGACAACATTTCCAAGGAAGGCAAAAATAACCAACAAAAACCCGACAGAAAAAAAAAAGAGACGAACCGCAAGTTATTGGTTGAACTTGCATTAACAAATCGACTTGCCATCAGCGTCACCCATCAAGGTCATGTCATCAATCATCACCATCTGACACCATACAGTAAATACCATTTTTACACTCACGCCAAAGCAAAACTGTCGCTGCAAATTTATATTTTTTCACTTCGATGTTTTTTCCCGAAAATTCAGAAGACTCGTGTTTGCTGGATCATGCAGATGTTCTTAAGACGAGTGAAGGGTAACCAACAGCGTTCAGTGAACTTCATCCAAGGTGACATAACCTGTTGCTCCAGTGGTATGTTTAGATCTTCATGCAGTTACGGCAAATTAGTAGTGCTCAAGCGGTGGTTAATGGGGCAGTTCTGTATACTCAGGGCTCGGCACCAGAATGATCCGCTATTAGTACAAGCTAATATAATACTTCTCTTATATTTCTATCAAGATTAAAAAAAATATATATACCTTTTTTCCTTCGCTTTCATATAAGACACTTTAAACTTGCTTTATTAGGTGGTAAACAGCATCAAGTTTGCTAAGGTATAATTTACAGGTGTGATGGCGGAGTCCTGGAGAGAATCATTTGATAATGGTCATCACAGCTTAGATGACACTCAACAAAAACTGCCCCGCGCTTCCCCTCACACAAGACAGTAAACCCAATAAGTATGCAAAGTAAGTGCAGATAAATGTGCAGTAATTACGGCTTTGGGAAAGATTCTGCGGGAGATCTTCAGCATTAAGCAGTATAGAGAGAGCTAGACTACTGCACCGAGGATTATTTAACTATTATAGACAAACATCGACGTAAAGAGCGAGATAATAGGTTGACCAGATGGCTAAATACGAGTTATTTCACGACTGATAATCTCTAAGGCGTGAGAGATGATACTACAGTATGTGATGTGTAAAGGGAGAGCGGAGTGGGGTGAGGGCAAGTGTGGGAGAAGCTGGTCATATGATGGTCATGTCGGCCACCCACATCCTCCCCCGCCCTCTGTAATCAAACATAACATGCAAGTCGGGGTAGTGAGGTGGGTGGTGGGGTAAGACAAATGAGGGAAGACAGCAGACCACCCGTCGCAGGAACCATCACACACACACACACACACACACACACACACACACACACACAACACTGCCACAGCATGTGTTCTTGCTGGTGAAGAGGACCACAGCGAGGTCCTTCACCACACACCGAGCAACATTCCTCAACACACACTGCTCTGAAGACACGTGTTCATCAACTTTCTTCTATTTGTTCGAATTTTGTATCTATGCAATTAATAAAAACACTTTTCAAACTTAATAAACGTTAATTATCAGTAATCCAAGACTCACAAAACTTCACCTACGCATCAGGTACACAGGTAGACAGGTGGCAGACTGTGATTATGTGCTTAATGCCCGGGTAAACCAGACTGGCTCCCGCACATGTTATCAACACACGCCAACAAATGTTTTCACCTAACATAAGAGTACCAAGATTCTTTTTCCAGCACGGCGGCTCAGAGATAGTCGAAACTTAACAACAACAATCAGACAATTTCTCAATATTTTACTTATTCTATACATGTTACGAAATTTCTTAGGATTTTGCTTGAAAGACGCAGTGCAAGTTGAAGTGTACAGCTTGCAACAGATGACATGTGAATAACTGACTCAGAAGATATAATCAACACAATGCAGTACTCACAGTAGACTCAGCTTGCGGAGGTCCTTGAAGGCCTCGGAGTGGACACACTCGATCTGGTTGGCGTTGAACAACCTGAAAGATGACAGACGCTCTTACAACACCTGCCCTAACCCTCAACAGATATCATATAACTAAAAATATACAAGTTGATGTTATAATGTATCACTGAGCTTTAACAACTAAGGTATTTCTGCTTGGTTAGTACATACACCAATCACCAACAATTAAATGTTAAGACATATCTTGTTGGAAAAAATATATATATCCTTGTTATTTTTAATAGTATAAACAATTACATTTCAGGTAAAAAACATTTCCTGAGATTCTTTTAAATAAATATAAACAACATATGAAAGGTTTCAGATAGATTAAGTAATGTATAAAATTGTGCTTCAAAATATTTACTCTTTAGTCGAATTATTTGGCGAGTGTGTAAAGAAATTGTTTAGTTATCCATGAATTATATAACAAAAGATTTATCTATTTAACGTTTTCTTTCTATAGAAAATTGAGAAATAAAAAGGAATATATTAAGCCATATACACTTCAGTGAACTGTTTAGAAGACTGATCTGCAAATGATCCTTTGCCTTTGTGATTTCAGGACACGACCTGATTTAATACGTGTAAAATGACTACTACTAATACTACTATTATCACCACCACCACTACTATCATCACTACCACTATTATAATCACCACTACTACTACCATACGCGTGGGAGGCGGGTCCATTCTACCTCTCTTTGTCGGGTCCATCGCATCGTGTCAATGAGGCAAAAATGAAAAAAAAGACAAAAACTACCACCAAAAAGTGGAAGTGTATACATTTGCACCGCGCCACACTCCCCTTGCCTCTATCACCATTATTTTTTATGGCTTGGCCCTTTGATTGTCGCTTAGCCCTACCCTAGAAAAATTCCAGCAGGCGCTAATGTATAGCTCAATAATTTTAGGTTATGGAAATGTCAGTCTGAGGCTCAGGAGACATCGTTTTTTTGTCGAGTCCAAACAGCTGGACCCCCCCCCAGAGACTACTGCTACTACTACTGCTACTACTACTACTACTTACAGCAGCTGCAGGTTGGCTAGCCCCCTTAAAAGCCTGGAGGAGATGCTGGTGATCTTGTTGCCGTATAGCACACTGTTGCACCACCACACAACCAAGAACCACGTCGGTGATGACGGCCAAGGACGATGGGGCCGCGGTGGAGTGACGGTAGAGACGTGATGATGCAAAGGAGGGGAAGAAGATATAAGAGTAAATTTCATTACAGGAGACGGAATGATTGATAATAACCGTAATAAGAGTGATTATAGTACTGATTCACTACGTCAGTTTACTCACACATCATAATATTCACAAATTATTAAAAAAATGAAATTATGCTTGAGGTAGGTGAAGGAGGGAGCTGGGAGATGAGGGAGGGAGGCTGGTAGATGAGGGAGGGAGGCTGGGAGGTGAGGGAGGTGAGGGAGACTTACAGAGAGTTGAGACTGTCCAGGCCGTGGAAGGCGTCCTCCGCTACCTCCTTGATCTCGTTGTTGCTCAGGTCGCTGGTGGAGACAGATAAGTTAATCAGCTTAATAAACTTCCTTTTAACTATAAAACCATAAAATACCTAACTTGATAAATAACTAATTAACAAACTAAACTTACTCCACCAAGTTCCATTTATCTGGTAATATCTTTTAAAAATAAATTTCCCAAACAAGCTGCAAAAATTGTTAAAAAAAAGTTGTTTCACCCTTTTGCATTTTTTTTGTACTAAATCCATAACTCAGGAACTACTTGAAATGTTGGCAATCACTTTCTTTGGTGAAACTAGTTACCGCTGCGCTGTAAGGGGCACAAGACGTGTGTGTGGACAGGTCCAAGTCTCTCCCAGGATGGAGAGACAAGGTATAGGTCAGATGGGTCCCACTCCTAAGAAGCCAAAATCACAATATAATTTAATGAAACCTAAGCATTAGGAGTAGGGTCCATAGGAAATGTGGACCCTTAATGGATTTAATTATTTAATTAGTATATGGGAGTTCACTGGGGTGGGCCCTGACCCTAATGCTTAGGTTAAGTTGGCGCCTATTAGGACAAGGGAACCATCTGACCTGCCACACACTGTACTTACATGCGCTTCAGCAGGCGGTAGGGCGTGAAGATCTTGGAGGGGACGTGTGTGATTTCGTTGTGTTCCAGTCGCCTGTAGGAGAGAACAGCAATAGTGGTGAACGACATTATGGCAGGACACGTTCTCTAGTGGGGGTGTACACTGGAGGATAGATGGTAAGGACATATTGGAGAATAAACGGAGGTGTATTGAGGATAGATGGGGGCTGTACTACTGAACAGAGGAGGAGGGCTAGCGGACAACAAGGGGACGGCCATTGAGAAAGGAGCAAATTTACATCACTCGCTGCTGTCAGTATCCTACATAGTTAATAAAAAATAGAGTAAAAACAAACAAAAACAATATGGTTGCCTGTTTTAATAGTGTTGAGGCCAGTTGTTGCTTGTTGGAGAAAGTTCTTATATTTCCAACTACACTTACAGGTGAGTCAAGGTACACATCATCCTACCCTGTCCCACACTACCACACACATCACCACCACCTTACATCAACACGTCTTCCCTTAGTCCTTCTCCCTGGACGAGCTATCAGGAAGTCAGGTGAATTCCCCCGCCCACAAAACCCATAACACCGATATTTATCCTCGGTGGATGTGAAAATTCTCGCCCAGGCGCCTGGATGCGTGTGAGGCAGAGGATCAAAAGTTCCCTTATCACGCCAAGGGGAAAAAACCCGTTAATGTAAAGGCATATGTTGGGAGGGACGTTATCTGTAGACTTGACTATCTTAATGCTCCCGGGATGAACGCCACCGAGGCAAGTTACGTTAAAAAACACACTCAAAAAAAGGGAGCGGTAAATGTGAAATGGCCTTTTATCCGGGATATTGTGGAAGACGAGTATTTAATTATTATTAATGAGGTTATAATACCAGTGTTTTTTTATATCCAGTTGACTTAATGATTATTTAATTGTTCGTAATCTTTAAAAACACACACACACACACACACACACACACACACACACACACACACACACACACACATAAACAACACTGACAGGTGAAAGGTGTGTTTTTACCGCCTGTAGTTGAGGGCAAGTTCCATCAAGGGTCTCACTGTGATCTCGACCTCCAATTACATGTAGGTGGTGGGAAAAAATCTTGTTTTTTCCTATCTGGGGAAAAAAACATCTCTAGCAGAAAGAGAAATGAGCTAATATTTTTCTGGACAGCCGCGTTCCTCGCCGGGGAGCGTCAGGATAGGATGGGATGGTTACGTTCTACCCCTACCTGACACATACAACCATGGAATACTTTCAATCTTACAGCTGTGAGAGACCTAGCTGAGGTTGGACCACTTTGTTTCTCTACCAGATGGTGAAAACGACAATGGTTTTCCACTACCAGTTCTCAAGAGGCAGGGAAATACAGGGTTTCCTCTACCAAACCTTAAACGTAAGAAGGACCTAAGTCATTACTGGGGCAGAGATACTCACAGTTCGATGGTGTCGTCGGGGATGTGAGTCGGGACGTCGGTTTGGCCAGTATCCCGACAGTCGACTATGCCAGCACCACACCGACAGGCGCGGGGACACACGGGTGCCAGCGAACACCCGCGGTCCACACTGTCCACCAGACCTGTAGGGGAGAGAGAATAAATGAATGAGGTTCGACTACAACACCTGCTGTAAATAAACGAGAAAGTCAGTAAGGAACAAGGTACAAATGCTTATCGAATTAAAACCACACTCAAAAAAATATAATATTCCTCACGTAAGAAGAACATCCACCAGTCATATCAAGAAAAACGAGTATGAGTCTGAGAAAAACACACAAAATTAAAACACAAAAAAGCGAAAAATCAAGTACAGTATATGAGATTGTGTTGAGAGCCTTCGTTGGTGGAGATGACCAGAATAACCACAAGTCTCCCTCAAAAGAAAGTGAATTACACGTGGGGTAACTTCTACAAAACACACACACACACACACACACACACACACACACACACACACACACACACACACACACACACACACACAAACGGATGTAATAAAAAACATGGGATTGTCTCACTTGTTCTATACCATAAACAAACACGACGTCAACACAATCAGGACTTATTTAACCCTTTGAGGACCATACCTTCATGTTGTTAAATCTTTATAAAACAATTGCACCGTGACCTGACCTGACCTGACCTGACCATATTTGAACTAAGGTCTTATCTAATCCGTATAAACCTCACAAATTGCAGATAAGAAACCACTGGACATGTACCCACTCCTGTTCCTGTAAAATTGTTTCTAAATTGAAGGTTTGGAATTTTATATAAAAGCAGCAATCATGACGTAAAAAAATTATAATACTCTATGACTTGACCAAATACGACCTCTTCTGACCTCGCCCCCGACGTGATCTACCCGACCCAGAGTGACTAGAGGCGGCAGAGTGAGGGAGGGAGGAGGGAGAGGCAGAAGTAAGGAAATGGTGGTAGGGAAGGTAGAAGGAAGTGGGGGTAAGTAGAGGTATAGGTAGAGGGAGATGAAGGAAGACAACGGGAGGTATGGAGAGACAGGGTGAGGTAAAGGAGGAGAGAGAGAGAGAGAGAGAGAGAGACCCCGAGGCTTTATACAACTATCACGCTTCGAGGTAGAAAAAAATATCCGACACAAAAAGGTTTTGTCGGGAAATGAACTGTTTCCTGTAACACCCCCTCCCCTCTCCTCCTGGATCATCGGAGGCGGAGGCGGCGGCAGCATCTGTGGTGTTGTAGTGGTGGCAATGCTGGAGGAAGAGGAATGGAAGGGAGTATAGGAGAGGGAAAGACAGTCTCAAGTGACGGATACCTGTTAACGTCACTGTAACTATCAGACTAATTTACCATCGATATTAGGAAACGTAGAGACATCATCAACTCTTGTACACTAAACAGAGTTTAAAACAACAACAGTCGCGGGGCGATAAGGACATGTACCCTGCCCATGAACCCAACACCTCACTAGTTGAACGACGACATTATCTAAAGTTACCATCAAGTTACGTCTTTTATATAACTCTTTCCAAATGGGAGCGAGAGGAAACGGTGTCTTCATTAGATACATAAAATAATAAAAGCATTATCACAAAAATAATAATACAGGATGTGAATACAGAAAATAACAGAGATATTATTATAATTAAGGTGGGTTTGACTCTTAGGTACGACCATGTCAGGTTTGTGGAACACCCGAGTTTTTCACGACGGTTGATTGTGACCCCTTCACGATACTCCAAATACGGTACTAAAAAAATAATTTACGTTACTTAACCTACAATAACAGAACACGTAGATATTTGTGGCCTTGGTTGAATGTTTTTATTATAAGTTGCCTAATGTTTGTGATGATTTGATGCAGTAATTACTGATATACTGAGCAAGTTAGGTGTGGTCACGTCTCTGTTTATCCTGGAAAAAAAAACATTCTGGGTGGAGTTCGTGAGTGATGTCTGGCTCCATGGGGCAGCCCCGGACCCCTGCCACGTTTCCCTGCAGCCTGGGGACGGGGCCACCATAGGGGCACCAGCGGGGCACCACATGCCTCCACGGGGCGCCCCATTAACCTACCGACCACACAAATTCAATCACTAACTGGAGTGTGCCGCCCAGGGAGACTTGCCGAAAGCCCTTGTCCATACATAACAAAGCCTGTCGTCTCTATACACACACCGCCGGGCTCGACTGAAACTAACACAGTCTAAAGTTGTAATACAAACAGTTATATAAAACAGATTATAGCTTTGAGTAGACATTAACTCACTAATTATCAGGATTAAACAATTGTTTCGCTTTGGCGTCAATTTGATGGGCTTTTGAAGAGCTGTGATTGGCTGCACTAGGTTAGGGCACCCGGATTAGACAATCACAGCAAACTTCCTCTAATTTTGTCTGCTAATTGAATAAAAGCTCCTTGCTTATCTCTCACGCTGTGCTGTGATCGGAAGCTAACGAACTAAGAGTGTACAAACAACGGAAGCGATCCTCACAAATTAGATTCGAAGTATTAGAAGATGGCAAGTCCTGTATTGACCCTACAACAGTTTATGTCTCGTCATGACAACTAAGTGACTAAAAACTGACCTTGTTTAGTGACATTAAATGCTCATCGTTTTCTACCAAATAAGAAAGAAAAAAAATGACATTTCGTTTTATCTTCTCATTTAAAATAATTCCTAAATTTGTAAAAACACTTGAATTTAAGTCATTATTTACCAGACTTTTACGAAATTTCATCAAGTCTTCTCACCAGATCCACAAAAGAAGATTTATAGGTTCTTGTATATATGTTACGTTCAAGCATAAGTGGAGGGTTGCTTGATGTACCTGACGCAGAGGCCATGTTGGGTAGGGGTAGGAGAAGGGGGAAATAATTGGTGGGGGAGGGGGAGGTGACATGGGTGGTGGGGAGCTGGAGATGAGTGTTAGGGGAGGAGGAGATGAGTGGTGGGGAAGGGGGGATGGGTGGTGGGGGTGACGAGATGTTAAAATTGTAGGCCTAGTGGAGAGGAAGGGGACAGGAAAGCTGACAAGGAGGGGAAGGGTGCTGACAAGTGAGGGGGGAGGCTGACAAGTGAGGGGGAGGAGGCTGACAAGTAAGGGGGAGGGAGGCTGACAAAGGAGGGGGGAGGCTGACAAAGGAGGGGGGGGAATGATAATTGAGTAAAGGAGGATTGCATAAGAAGTGAGGGAGAATGACAAGGTAATGGAGGACGATTGGCAGGTGGGAGAAGGAAAGAATCACAGATACATACAGTGAAGGTGTATTGTAACCCATTCAGAAGGAGGAAGAGGAGGAGGAGGAGGAGGTCAAGGATGAGGAAGAGGAGGAGGTCGAGGAGGAGGTTGAGGGCGAAAAAGAGTACAAGGAAGACTGCAAGCTGTGACCACCACCTACATACCCTCACCCCCCCCCCCAACACAGTCTTATTTGTTTCGTACCGTAATGGCGCTCACTTGTCCTGGGTTCGAGTCCCAATTTACGGAGATATCTCAATAATGGTTTTACCTTTATTTTTCTTAATTGTTGATGATTAGTGTATTTACTAACCTAGAATAAGGTAGGAATATATTAATTATATCTTGAACATCAATATTTTTTTCTATGGCCAGATTGAGCCAAACAGTTGTCTCTCCGTCTTCAAAATTCAGGGTAGCGTAGAGAAGTAGTGTTAATATCTCTCATAGTCCTTGGTTATGACAGTGTCTCAGTCTCATATCTCGTGCACAATATCGCTCTGGGGAGGGGAAGGGGTGTGGTCCTTTCTGATATTCACTCCTTTCTCATCCCCCTTACTTACGAAGTCTCTCCTTTATGATCTCGCGATTTCATATCTCTCCCAAAATCTCTATTGAATTCTCCGTTCGTCTCTTCCTTCCTTCCCTCCCTCACCCTCTCACCGAGTCCCGACGCCCCCCCCCCTCCCTCCATGAAAATCTAATAACCCGGGGCTCCACACCCACACCAAATATTATGGAAATTCAATTGGAAAGGTAAAAGCCAGCGATCAGAAAAGTTCTTCGAGGGAGGAGGCCGACTGAGGCGCCACCAGTTCCTTGTCCAACCTCCGAGATCCTTTAAAAAGAGAGTTATGTCAGGGGTTCAGAGGTGGGAGTCTGTAGGTCTGTGTGTCTGTGAATGTTACGTTTATTGTATGTCTCTGTGGGGTCGAAAATCAGTATCGTGGATCCTTTTTTCCGAACCTTTGAAATGAACCACTTTACAAGTGTCAATCCCATTCTCTACGTTACCTACACTCCTGTATTCTTTGTATTCAGATAAACGCGATGATGTATTTTTCCCTCAAATGGAACCTTGATTGAATTTATTACGTATAAATTCCGTGTCGTGTGAACGAACCAACTGGCCGAACCATTCTGAATTTTAAATTTTCCAGGTCTCGGATTCCCAAACTCTCGTACGTTGAATTTTACCTTTAACTGGATTCTCTAACAACACATTTAACTCTCTAATTTTAGCTAACGCACTAAAAATATCGTCCACAATAGCATTAAAAGTACACTAAGATTTACCTTTACTAGACACACTCACGTATCACCAGCCAGGAGACAAAAATGACGTAGGGAATCATGGAGAATGGAGACCCTGGATCACAGCTCCCCCAGGCTGGTAAATTCACTCACTCGACAGAACAAATAGCGGAGAATATATTGAAAGAGAAACTACAGGAATAAAATGATTTAATATTGAGTATTTTGAGCCTAACAATTCAACTAACAGCTCACACAAAAATTTCATATCTACGTGACTTCTTTCACATCATCACACACACCACTATTTGACTATTATTTCAACGGACATATAAAATTAATCTAGCATCCATGTTTATTCGTTTTTCTGTTTGTGTGTATGTTTACTGGGTGTCAGGAGGAACTATGATGGTCAGGATGGTCGTATTAGTCATGACTATGTGACATTAGGGGTGCTAGGGTGCCAAGATCAGGGTCAAGTATGAAGGTGAATGATCGACATCGTCTCAAAATGTGGCAGGACATTTTAACACGCATATTATTATGATGGAATATTATTAATTAGAGGTGAACCAGGAATGGACACATCCCCCCCCCCCCCACACACACACGCGGATGGAGGAATATTTCACTCCCCGGACTCTCAAAGGTTCGTTAGATAAACATCCCTCGTAAGTGAAGGTGTAACAACGTACCTAAAAAGCGGAGTTGAACTTGAATAAAAAAAAAATTGAAAAAATTCACCTTGAGATTATCTTAAAAAAATACAACTACTTTTGTTTATCGATCTAAATAACCAATCAAACAATCAATCAATCAATCAATCTCCTACATCTGTAAACAGGTGATAAACACATACCCAAGACACTGTCAGTCATAATTTACCTGTACACTTGAACTCTTGGTCGAGAACCTCAGTGACGAGCCTGTCCTTGAGCCTGTAGGGGGAGGAGCAGCGGACGTAGGGCGCCAGGTGGGGGGCAGCGGCCAACATGCGCCCCAGCCACGAGAGGTGACAGTCGCAGATGAGTTTGTTGCCTGAGACTCGTAGGGCGCGAAGTCGTGGTGTTGGCTCGAAGGTTCCCCGCCATAGAGTCGTGATGTTGTTGTTGGTGAGAGTACTGCCGGGGAGAGAAGGAGTGAGTGAGTGAGTGAGTGAGTGAGGAAGCTGAGTTAACCAGATAATTATAATCGGTGAAGATAATATTCAACTTAATTATTTATAAATCGTGTTGGAAGTCACAACAATGGTAACTAATGATGGAACACACTAAAACACCCAAACATCAACAACTGGGAATGATTGATATGGGGGACCTGCTGTAGAAGTATTATGTAGTGTAATCTGAGGTAGAGTTTACTTGTAGAGGGTCCTATTGCTGACTATCGGTTATAAAATAAAAAGATCAAATATAAAACATTAAATTAAAACATGAAACATTACATTCAAATATTGCCCTGAGGAAAGCCAGACTGGGCATTAGAAAAGGCAAGCTGGGATTTAGTAAGGCTTGGTTGGGTATCATCAGGATAATCAGGCTGGGCATAAGGATAGTTAGGATTGTCATGAAGATTACCAAAAAGGGAAATTGGAAAATCCTGGTTGGTTGTTACTAACAGTAAAAATTACCTAAGCAATGAGTTGGAAAGGGAAGACGTAGAAACTTCACGAGAAAAACTTATAAAAGCGAGTTGATAAAACTGATCAAAAAAAGAAAAAAGAAAATGATATAACTCTTGACTTAAGATACTAAATCCTGGAGCATCAGACGGGTGAAAGAGGAACTGATATTAGAGTGGACGGCAGAGCTGCCTCACTTTATACAAAACTTGGGGACGCCACTCTGGGCTTAATGACCCGGAAAGAGAAAGTTTTTATTGGTTCATGAGTGGGAGGACCTGGGGAGGGGGGACCATGAGGGGGGGGGGGGGTTCTGGTACACGATGACTCCCTTACGTATTTTCTTTTCGGCAAGATCGTTCCCCAAACAGGCGATTATTGCCTTGTCTCGTCAGTATATATATATTCATATATGGACACACTGAGAAAGTGGGTCTCATAGGCGTAACGGCTGTATAGTTAATAAGCCTTCGGTATGTAAGGAGGCAGCGTGGCCGACATTGGACTCGACCGTCTTCTCTTCCTCAACTGTAAACCTAGGTACCCATTTATAATGTATCTGGGAGGACCCTTCAGAGTTGAGCACTGTATCCACTCGACTACAGGCTGTATTCTTTAGTTCTCCATTACTGTTATTTCTTGATTTTGTAAAAGTCCATCTTTGACGAGACTCACTGAACCACCTTAGTGTTTTGAGTCTTTATGAAAGTAATTGTTAAAATAATCTCACGTACTAGCAAACGCATTCTCGAGTTGATATTACAGTGAAATTAAGAGACAATTGTATGAAAAGTTTATCTTTGACGATAGAAAACATTTAGCTCCCCGACCTCAAGTTAACCACTTCTATATTTACTTTCTCAGTTTCAGAACCATCAATCACTCAACACATTTAAGAATTTACATTTTGGCATTATTAAAAAAAGGGGACTATTGTCAAAGGTTTATTTTTGAAGAAAGTATCAATAAAACTCATCTTACAAAGAATTACGAATATCAGATAACACTTCCATAGTGATATACAAGTCTACGGTCATCGCCACCCACATTAATTACTAACCTCTGACCTTTAACCTTCAGTAATGGTGTCATTAATACAGTAGTGTGGTTTATATATTGTTATCATAAAGACATCCTTGAAAACCTTTGGCCAGTGTCTTATATTGTGGAGATATTGGTAGTGGGAGGTGTGTCAGTATGATACAGTATATGTACTCTTTGTGTACTCGTACATCAGTAAGAGAGATAGAGTAGTTGAGACAGTGAGAAAGAGACAGCAAAAGTGAGACAACATGAGAGAGATAGTACTCACAGTATCTCGAGGAGGGCAAGACCTCTGAAGGCTTGTTCGTCGATACAGGTGATCTGGTTCTCGTCCAACTGCCTGTAACAAAAAACAGTTAATTAGTTACCTGTAAACAGTGATATACATATACAGCATTTCAATTAACAGTACAGTACACTCACGTCTGCATGTCAACAACTTCTATGAACTGGTTACGACGTATCTTATCCATCGAAAGGATTATTTTTCATTATTTCTTTTTAGTTTAATAATTTTATTGGTTAAGCGAAGGTAGAATTTTGCTTAATCTGAGTTCGTTCAGTCAGGTCTTGGCATTTGCGGGGCTGTCACTAAGCACTTGCCTAAGAATCACGATAGGACACACACACACACACACACACACACACACACACACACACACACACACACACACACACACACACACACACACACACACACACACACACACACACACACACACACACACACACACACACACACACACACACACACACACACACACACACACACACACACACACACACACACACACACACACACACACACACACACACACACACACACACACACACACACACACACACACACACACACACACACACACACACACACACACACACACACACACACACACACACACACACACACACACACACACACACACACACACACACACACACACACACACACACACACACACACACACACACACACACACACACACACACACACACACACACACACACACACACACACACACACACACACACACACACACACACACACACACACACACACACACACACACACACACACACACACACACACACACACACACACACACACACACACACACACAGAAATGAGAAAAAACCTAAATAAACTACTTCTCTTGGGACCAAATTATTCTCACCCCTCGCGTATGTATGTATGTATGTATGTATGTATGTAACACTGTATCCTAGTAACACGTAAAACCTCAATCAACTACAACTCTACAGCACATTCACCTACCTAAATTACACACATAAGTTTCAAGCCCCAGATAATATGGACATATACGAAAACTAAAACTCTCATGAACCACACAATCACCTTCTATAAAATTTAACAAATAAACCGAAACTTTACGAAACGTTGTCAAATAAACGTTCAACCAAGCGTAACGTCACGAGAGTAAAAAGACGTACTGCCGTCCTTAATTCACTGTGTAAACAATTATAATGTTTATATTGATGAAGTTTGTTTACATCACTGCCTTGTTCTTATACTCCATCGCCATTGTTTCGTCGAGCCTTGTCGTACACCACGCTAACCTAATCTACTTCTAGTCTAACTTAACTTAACGCCTAACCTAACTTTACCTACAGTACTTCTAATCTAACTTAACGTATCCTATCCTTAATGCAACATAACCTTCCTTTAATTTAGCCTAACATACCCTTAACCTAAGATACTCCAGAGCAAACACACTAACTTCATCCGCGTTTCTAGTATGAAAATCCGGATTTGGCTGTGGATTCTAAAACTAAACTTTACCTCATAGATACACTTAAACATTCACGTATGTAGAAAAAAAAACAAAAAAAAAACACAAGAGGCGTGATAAACACAAGCCCTCCTCCTGTGGTAAAGTACAGTTGGATCCCACAATCTATGCAGACTGGGGCCCCGATGGAGTATTGAACGCTGTTGTGTGGACTCCGATACGCCGTCGATCCTCTACCCGTGGAGGAGGATTGGCAGGGGATCCTGATACGATAGTTTCCGAGGCTTTGCTGGTGGCATCCCAACTCCCACTGTCAGTTTTATTTATCTTCTTCAGCGGAGCTACCCGGGTGACGCTCTCTCTCAACTCAGCCTGGTGATGGTGGTAGGCGGTGGGGGTGGCACTATACGGCACTATACTGCTGGTGGTGACGCTTTAACTTCCTGATCTTCTATAAGTGTGGGTGATTTTTTTTCTTCTGGTTATGACTCTCTCCCTTCCTCGCTCTGGTAACTAGGGAGAAACAGTAGTCGCCGTATGATCGTCTCCGCTCAGGGCAACACCCTCCTCAACACAGGGCAACACCATCCTCAGCTCAGGGCAACACCATCCTCAACTCAGGGCAACAACATTCTCCAGTTTGCCTCAGGGACACGTTACATCACTTCGAAATGGCTTAGACAAAACTTCTTTTTTTGTAGTAAGTAAATTGTGACGAGAAGAGAATTCTTAATGTTTACTGTAGCGTTGAGTAGTTCCTCTACACCAGAAGGAACACGACGGGTTATTGGAGAAGAAAAAAATAAAGTCTAGCATTGGAAACATAAAATGCGGCCTGAATATCAAACAACTGACCCATTCTCATATCTGACAGTCTCCTCTATAGAAAACGGGTAGAAGAGATTGGATGGAGGGGCGACTCTCCTAAATACATTACCCATTCCAGTGATAAAAAAATCTCCAAGAATTCTGTCCTTTCCTCTTATTCATCTGCTATTTTTCTTTATTCTATCTTATAATTATTTATTTATGTTTTTATTTTTCTATTTAGTTATTTATATTTTTAATGAGCAGTTGACAGGTGCATGAAGGTGATTGGCAAACGGCTCCCACGGTCCGGCCAGCCATCCATCAACCACCGACCAGGCAACCTTGTGATTAATTGGCCAGGGGGAGGGGGGGGGTGGTGGGGAGGGGGTAGGATGAGAAGGACGGTGGGGAGGGGGAGAAATGTGGGTAGGGGAGGAAGATGGGGAGGGTAAGGAGAAGAGGTGGATGGAGGAGAGGTGGAGGGGAAAGGTGGATGATGGACAGGGAAGAGGAGGAAGAGAAGGAGTTGAATGGTGGGAGAAGGAAGTGGGGAAGAGAAGGAATAGTGTGATGAAAGAGGAGGAAAAGTGGGGTGGGGAGGAGAGGAGGACGCAAAGGGAAAGTTACAAACACCGGGGGAAGAGGGAGAGGAGGAGGACAGAGAGCGGGGTGAAGAAGACATTCCACCAGATTTTAAACATACAATTATTGTCTTCCTTGTTGTGGCAATATTAGGTTGTCTTTTTAAGCCGAATTAAGTCAACCTAAACCTGTCTTTTATGACCTGAGCTTTTATTTGTTCAACATTCACCACAAATTCTTGAAGTAATTATTATAAACGTTGCATTTTCACATTATTATTATTATTATTATTATTATTATTATTACAAGACTACTATAAATAAACCCTAGGAACATTTCTTTGCATTAAGGCATCATAGAGACGTAAACCTCCCTTCTTAGCCCGTGATTATCAACTTAAGGGGATAAGAGGGCGAGAGGGGGCAGTACAATGGGGCGATAATTAAGTGAATGGAGAGTAGGTTTTAGCAAGACCCCTTCCATTGTGGTGTTGGGGGGAATTATGTTGTGGTGTGGGGCGCCCCTCATGTAGGTTGACAGTGGGTGGGGCAGGAGAGATGCGGAGGGGAAGGGAGGGGAGGAGGGAAGAGAAAGGGATGAATAAGCGTGGGTGGGAAGGTGCTGGTGGGAGAAGAGTGTGGAGAGGGCGGGGAAGGGGGGGATGACGGGTGAGGTCACAGGTCAACGAGGTGATGGTTATGTGACCTGACGTGGCCAAGGGAGGGCAGTGGAGGAGAGAGGAAGTAGGTAAAGGGGAAAAGGGAGGAGTGACGGGGGACGCGGGAGAGGGAGGCGTAGGTAACGAAGGGTGATGTAGTGAACGGAGGAGAAAGGGGAGAGAGGGAGGATAAGAAGGAAAGTGAAGGAGGCAAAAAGAATAAAGAAAAAGAGAGGCAGAAATAAGTAAAGACACTAATGAGGATGGAAATGAAAGACGAGGAGATAAAGAGATGAAGGAAGAGAAGGAGTGTGGGTAAAGGGAATAGAATGAGAGGGTGAGTGGGAGGATGTACAGTCACCCACAAAAGTGCTGTGGCTTCTCCTGTTATTACATGAACCCGAGATTCAGACGAGTGAACCCCAAGAAGTAGACACTGATGAATTGCTCTGTCCATAAATACTTCGGATTCACGAGTCTGAATTTGGGGTTCGTGGTTCAGGAGGTGAGGCGACATGACTTTTGTGGGTGGCTGTACAACAAAGACAGGAAACCGAGAGGGAGGGAGGGGGGCACATCAAGGAGGGAGGGAGGGGGCGCACCAAGGATGGAGGGAGGGAGGGAGGGAGAGAGGAGGGCACACCAGGGAGGGAGCAGCAGAAATATTGGGCTCATCACCACAGATGGGGAAGTATCAGGTGTTTAGTTGTTAGGGTCGTGGCTCACTTAACATGGCGAGATGGTGATATGTACAACACGAGCCGCCTCTCTCTCTCTCTCTCTCTCTCTCTCTCTCTCTCTCTCTCTCTCGCCGTCGCAGGAGGGGGTAAAGAGCCTCCACGTGTCCCGTGATCCGAATAAAATAAACAGTAAGTATTCTGTCCTACTAGATGAAGCGACATCGTCTAAAGAGCCGGATTAAGAGTTCAGTGGAAAAATTAGGAGTAAATTTTCTTGATCACAAAATGAAGAGAGTATGGAGGATGGATCACCTTGTTGGACGGTTGTTATGTCACCGAGAAGACGCCACCTTCCCTAGCTTACAGTGCTAAGTTACTATTGCTGCTGACTAGAACGAAATGAATAAGACTGTGAAGCTTGAACACTGTAATTCATTCTACCCTCGAGTTCGGCAGAGGTCAAACTTACGTAATGAGTTAACTATATCCAGATACGGACAAATCACTTACAGCTCTAAAATCACGCGACCCCGGTGACGTCAACAACATACACAAAAGGTCCTCAGTGTCGTAATCCTTTCTGGACACACTTCTTATAACTCATAAACAGCCCACCACAGCTCCCACCACAGCGCCCACCACAGCTTATATAAACCCGCGGACAACAGTGTACAGCGCCATCATCAAACAACCATTGTCTTAAAAAATAAAAGAACAGGTTTTCTTCAGCCCTTAAAAAAAAAAGACAGAAGGAAGGATATTCTTTTTTTTTTTAGTTGAACCACAAAAACTTTCCCGAGTGAGAAGAAGTGACAGAGGCGAATTCTGGGGCGGAGGATCGACAATGTTAATGTTCACTGAGTCAGCAGCTGCTTCTCTGGTCCGCCTACTGCTGCTGCGGCTGCTGTTATTGGATGGCCTTGTTGGTGCTGTTCTTCCGTCTAAAGCTATTGCTGTTATCCCTGGTACTGTCTTTGGCTGGATGAATGGATACCAGGTCGGACGGATAGACGGACAGACGGACGTAAACTAGTCCCCTATCCGTCGCCGGTGGTCAGAGAGAAAAAAGAAACAAATCTACTGAAGAGAAATATATCATAGGCGTGAAAATGATGACGATAATATTTCTTTGTGGATAAGAATTTTCTTCCCCAACTTTGTGTCGAGGTTGTTAGTGACCAAAGTTCGACCTGAGGCGACTTTGTAAACTTGGTTTCCCCCCTTAGTCCCCTTAACTTATAGTCCCCTCACGTATACAGTCCCTCTCATATACAGTCCCCTCACATAAACAGTCCCCTCACACAACCAGTCCCCTCACATACACAGTCCCCACAAGTAAACTTTTACAGCAATATAGTCAAGGTGTGGTTGTGTGTGGTGACAGTGATAGTGGTTGTGGGTAGTAGTAGATTGTGGAGAGAGAGAGAGAGAGAGAGAGAGAGAGAGAGAGAGAGAGAGAGAGATATTGCAGAATATTGACAGCTGAAGAGATATTGTGTTTCTGACAGACAGACTCAATAGAGACGCAGAAGGAAAGAATGAGGATTAAAGCAGAAGAAGAAGAAGAAGAAGAAGAAGAAGAAGAAGATAAAAAGAAGAAGACGAAGAAGATAAGAAGAAGATAAGAAGAAGAAGAAGAAGTCGACAAAAACGAAGAAAGAGAAGATAATTAGAAAAGAACCAAGACTTATAAAAGAGAAACTACACAGAAATACACAATATCTCTCTCTATACCAGACTACAACTCCTGATAACCTAACCTAACCTAACCTAACCTAACCTAACCTAACCTAACCTAACCTAACCTCTACATCACGTGAAAATAAACATTTCTTGTATAAAATTCTTCTATAGTTTTAACAATATATATATTTTTCTCAATATTTTTTTCTTTTTTTTCTTGCATTTATGTTATTTTTACTCTCTCTCTCTCTCTCTCTCTCTCTCTCTCTCTCTCTCTCTCTCTCTATTCCTCCCTCCCCCTTCCTTCCCTCCCTCTATCTATCTATCTATCTAACACACGCTTCCTCAACCCCTCCCCCCTCTATTCATCACACTTTATATCAACTCCTTACGTATAGAAGAATGGGATAAAAGAAGAAGAAACAGATAAAAGAGAATGAAACACTGGAGACAAGAGATAGAGAGGAGAACAAGTTATTTACATACATATTGCACAATGCCGGACCAATAACGCGTCTATGATGAGGGAAGACCTGCAAGGATTAGAGGAAGAGGAGAGATGATGATGATGATGATGATGATGATGATGATGATGATGATGATGATGATGATGAGGAGGAGGAGAGGAAAATGAAAAGAATAAATAAGACGAGAGAGGAAAAATCAAACCAGAAACAGAATAATGAAGGAAAACCATAAGGATAAGAATAAGGAGATAAGAGAAAACCCAAATAAAAGCCATAAAAAACAAAAACAAAACTTAAACCAAATGAAAAGAAACGAATTAAAAAAAAACACAATAAAAGAGGAAATTCACAATGGTAAGAAGTATAAAACAGATAAAAATGGTGCAAATATATACATGATGATAAAGATGATGGGAAAGGAAGAGAAATACTGGATGAAAGGAGATTAATAAACCAGGCGAGCACTTACAAATATCTCAGTTGGGAGAGGCCCTTCAACATTTTCTTGGCGATAATTTTCAGTTGGTTACGATTCAGCTCCCTGCAAGAAGAAGAATGAGAAGAAATGTGTTAGATCTTTTGTGAGGAGATGTGGTTAAAAATTCTCTCTCTCTCTCTCTCTCTCTCTCTCTCTCTCTCTCTCTCTCTCTCTCTCTCTCCCCAGCTCCCCGCAAGAATAGGGTAGATACCATATACCTTGAAGGGCCACTCCATAAGAAAATGACTACTCTTTTGTGACTCCGTGACTCCCGGTGATTCTAAATAAGACAATAAAGAACAACAACCTTTCATGCTCAAACCTATGCCAAAATAACCCACGAAACATACATTGAGATACAAGACCTCTTAAATATTCTGCCTTTTATCATAATTAAAAAAACAACCAAATAAATCATATTAATAAATCATAGTATTTATTTGTTTTCTTCATATAAAAGTTTTCAGTAATTTAGTGAAGTTAGACCTTTACGAACAATCAAATGCATGTGTGTGTGTGTGTGTGTGTGTGTGTGTGTGTGTGTGTGTGTGTGTGTGTGTGTGTGTGTGTGTAGATACGAGTACAGGGTGATCAAAAAGAATACCCTGTTTATCAGTGATTATATATTGAAATCTCGTCATTCTGATTCGATGACCCGTGACCATGGCGCATTTGGGGCTCTGATAGCTTAAGTGTGTGAGGGTGAATATACTGTATACGAATAATAATAATAATAATGTAAAATTGTATAGTTTATTATCTTTAAAGTTGTAATAAATTGTTATATTCGTATATGAATGTACGCCGAATAAATTTGTTGAGAATTTTTTTTCTTAACCTGTAGCAAAATTGAAGTAATATTGACCCGGCTCGTTAAATGCTGTGGGACTCGAATGTAAATTGTCGACCAAGACTTTCCTCCTGTCTGGAATTTTTTCTCTTTTGAGTGAGTATTTTTTTTGTGTCTTTTTTGCTCAAGGGCTTTACGCTAAGACTGTGGCACAACTTTATTTATTTTCTAGTTTTTATTTATTAATTTTTCTTTCTCTCTCTCCCTCTTTCACTTTCTCAATCTTCCTATATCTCTTGTTTTCAGTTTCTACCTCTCTCTCTCTCTCTCTCTCTCTCTCTCTCTCTCTCTCTCTCTCTCTCTCTCTCTCTTTCACTTATAAGTTTAGGTCGAGATTTTCCTTTATTTTCAAAAGAGAACAATAAGAAGAAATGTCTCAGCAAAGGAAGAAAATATGTGAGAGAATTATTGAATAAAGAATGAAGAAAAAACTACAGAAACAAAGATACGATGGTGTTGATAGTGGTGGTGGTAGTAATAGTAGATGTTGTGGTGGTTGTAGTACTGGTGGTAGTAAGTCATAGTAGTAGAGGCGGTGGTTGTCGGGGTGGCAATAATAGTTTTAGTATTGGTGACTGTAGTAGTGGTGATGGTGGTCAGTGTTAGTAGTGGTGATGAAGACGTATTACCAGTTGTTATTGTCGTGCTGAATGAGTGGCACATCAAAAACACACAAAAATAACCAGAAAAACTCAGACACAAACGTAAGAAACATAAAATTTATAAAACACACAAAACACAACACAAAAACACAAAGGAAAAACACCAAGACATACAACACTTTGACCTTCTCCATCATCAGGCAATACAAAAGGCGAAATATCTCCAACATAATTACTAATACCGAAGCCCAAGTTAGCACTATCAGTTAAGTTGGACTAATTAATTACGCATGGAGGTAATTTGTCTTCATAATTACCTGGACACGTTAATATATATTGAAGGAACAAGTGAAGTTAAAAGATTTATTAAAGCACAGTTAAATAAGGTGTATAAATCCCGTAGGTTCCATAATCCCAGAGGTTTCATGATCTCGTAGGCTCCACTCGGCTCACCGGTCACGCACCAACACACGTTATCATCAGCTCAGTGTTGTATAACTCTGAGACCCTCGCCTCCCGCATCAGTTTCAAGACCCGCACGAAGACCGCACCACCTGGTTGTCCCCCCCTCCCCCCAGAGACCGCAGGCGACGTTGGGGAGGCTGCGGGCGGTGCTGGGTGACCAGAGGGGGGCGGGGACTGTGGTTAGCGGTGTGGTCGGCGGTTTTATGTCAGTTGTAGGGGAGACTTGTCAGGGGGTGAGGAACGTGTGTTAGAGTGTGTCAGGGAGTGAGGAACGTGTGTTAGAGTGTGTGAGGGGGTGAGGAACGTGTGTTAGAGTGTGCCAGGGGGTGAGGAACGTGTGTCAGGGGTGAGGAACGTGTGTTGGAGTGTGTCAGGGGTGAGAACGTGTGTTGGAGTGTGTCAGGGGTGAGAACGTGTGTTTGAGTGTGGGGGGTGAGGACAGATCTTGGAGTGTCAGGGGGTGAAGAACGTGTGTTGGAGTGTGTCAGGGGTGAGGACGTGTGTTGGGTGTGGCTTGGGGTGATGAGGGTGTGTTGGGAGTGTGTCAGGGGTGAAGAACGTGTGTTTGAGTGTGTCAGGGGTGAGGAACGTGTGTCAGGGGTGATGGACGTGTGTTGGAGTGTGTGTCAGGGGTGGAACGTGTGTTGGAGTGTGTCAGGGGTGATGAACGTGTGTTGGAGTGTGTCAGGGGGTGAAGAACGTGTGTTTGAGTGTGTCAGGGGGTGAGGAACGTGTGTCAGGGGGTGATGAACGTGTGTTGGAGTGTGTCAAGGGGTGATGAACGTGTGTTGGAGTGTGTCAGGGGGTGAGGAACGTGTGTTGGGAGTGTGTCTCAATCGAGTCAACACAACGACAAAAAACGTGGCCATATTTTCTCTTAACGACGACAATATTTATTTACCTGTCTCTTCCACTGATAGACTGGTGGCACCTGGCGGGTTCAGCAGCCCAGGTGATCACTGTCTCCCCCCCTCCCCCGTCTACCTGTGTGTCCCTCAAGGCAGATCAAAGATAATTTTTTGCCTTAGTTACGTGAGCATGATGTCTACTCACTCTCTGATGTCTGACCAATCTACTTTCTGATCCTCTCAAGATACTCATGAGTCAGTCAAGGTCACGAGGCAGTGCAGGTCAACATCTATGTATAGACTCTGGTGTCAGGTATATCAGAGGTAAGAGTTACGAAAAGTTTCTTTATTAATTCAGTATTTTTCAGCCAGTTGAGGTGTTAAGATAAACTGGTATGTGCGTTTATGGTTATCTAAGTGATACCAGCTATGAGAGAGTACCAAGAGGACGCTAGGCAACCTCCTCAGACATGATTTTTCACCGCCGGGACTAGACAGTACAACACCCCACGACGCACATGCTGGGTGTACCACCTCATAAGGTCAAACCCCAGACGAACTGGTTTGGTCCCTGTACGTCACGCCTTCCTGTGTCAACCTACGAACTTATTCAACACGGACACATGTACCGTCCTTTGTTCCACACGCGGGCAAAAATTCTGGCACAAATTTCCTCTGATCTTTTTTCCCTCCCTTAGCCAACGACCTCATCCAAAACGGACATGAACCGCCTTGTTCTCTCTTAAGCTTGTACGTTTCCTCACTATCACTCGTACTTTTCGTCTTTCGTCCCTTCCCCTTCAACTTTCCCGTAACTTAACAAAACAAAGGTAACTGTTTGCAATATTGTGTTGAAGTTATTGTATTTTTCTTCTGTCTATAAATAACGCCCATGAAATATTTGTAATTCATATTTAATAATTTATTAATGATATAAAAATGTCTATCATGATGAGACGTACGTGAGTGTGTGTGTCCACCATTATGGTCCAAGCCAATGTGGCCAGGAGGTAGACTAGGGCCACTCCAGCGTCTCACTGGCCACACTCACCCCCTCTCACACAACGCACAGCCGTCACCAGCCGGTTCCTCCACCACCCGGACCTTCATTGACTCATTATTTCACAGAAAACGAGGTGCCGGACACCCTCTGTATAGGGATTAAATCCATATATCCGGGGTAGAGGGAGCAAAAACGTGCTGTCCCACAAACGTTCAATAACTTCTAATGTCACGCATAAAAGGTTGGGAGGTTAGGCCTTAGTGATGGACACATTTAGAGGGGTGTGTCACTAAGGGGGCCCATTTCTCCCCTTTGGAGTAATCCCCTAGTATGAAGTCTCCTCACGCTAGAGGGAGGATTACACCGTCACGTATTAGGTCTAACGTCCGGGATTTACGAGACGTGAATAATCACTCAGACGGATTTGCCTGAAAGGGATTTATGAGGTGTCATAATACCCTGAAAATAAATTGCTGGATAATATTTTCATCTCTTATTTTTGTTTACCTTTATGAGGTAAAACTGTATATTATACCTGTTTAAGGACGTTTACTATTACAGAACATCATACTCACAGTGCACTCATACCAAGAGCAGTAAATCACAGTGGGCACTAAGATTCACTCGGTATATTGCGTACGTATGTTGAGAATATGAACAAGAATGTCTGATTATTTCTATTTGTGTTGGTACTTTCTTGTCGCCAACTACTATGTCTTGCACACTCTCACATGAATTCCTCTAATTTCTTTGAGAGTGAATCCTGAGTGTCCCTATCCGAAGTGGAGACAGGCAGACAGACAAGACTGATCTTAACCTAACTCCTTGCGTGGCTGGAGGCTTCCCAATATGATTTTCATCTACTGTATAATATATCTTCATCATCATCCATTTCCGCGTCATCATCGTCACCATCATCAGTTCACACTTCCCTCATACCTTCCTACCATCCTCTATCCACATTCTTCCCTGTCCACTTAACACCTCCAAACATCGAACGAGTAGCCGGTGTGTGGGTATTTTCTTATCTCGCGGGATCCACCACTTGCTGCTTGGGAAGACCGGCCACCTTGACTGAGGAGGAGGCATCATCACCAGGACTTAGATAAACACCTCTTCGTCTCCGTCATTTTATTGGCTGACGTTAAGGCATGAGCTATTACTGGAACGTCTGGCTATCAATCGGATGAAGACAAGAGGAAGTTTACTGAAAAGCTTTGGGTATATTCATCGCTATTTAATGTATATATTTATACTATATCTGTCTTTTATATTGATGTATCTATCTTCTTTTC